CTGCTGCTGCTGCTGGTGCTGGTGCAGTGGGGGCGGCTGTTGTCCTGGTGGGGGTCGTTCTCGTTTTTTGTCATGATCATTGGTAGCACTCTACCGTTATTGCTGTCAACTGTTCGTCTACAGTTCGTGTGTCCTCATAAAGCCTGCTACTTTACCACATCTATTTGCATGACGATTTTCTCGCTCTTTGGTATCCTCAGGATTCCTGAGGACCCCCACTGTAAAGGATCACGTTTTGGACCCCCGTACAGGGAAAAGAAACCTGAGGATCCTTGAAGGGAACCCCTCAGATTGAAGAACACTCATCTCTAAAACCGTAACCTTGTACCACAGCAGCACAACCCTAAGCCCCAGAGGCTCTAGACTCCCTACACCCTAAAAACCCTAGACTAGATCGTGTGGCTAATATTTTCTCGTTGACGTAAGGCAGCTGCAACTGGCGATGCGCCAGCTGCTCGGGCCGTGCCTTGGCTTAGGCCTTTCCTCTGGGATACACGGGTGTTTCCAAAAATTAGCGGTGCCTTTTTTGGGGGTCCCCAAAGTAAGGCTTGTAGGATGCAAGTCTAAATTGGGGTCCCGCCATGTAAGTTTTGTAGTGGATTGACGGTGGTGGGTTAAAGGGGAAGGGTCCCGGACTTGCCGCCTAAGAAGGCTATGGGAAATAGCTGTAATCGAGGTCGTACGAACCATGCCTTGGGCACGGAGGTGTCTCTGGTTATTCTTCCTTGTTGCCTGCACGCAGTGAGCCTAGGAGTCCGATTCGCCTTCCGAATCTGAGTCCGAGTCCAGTGAATAGTCTAGTTTTTCGAGCTGTCCTAGCCCTTGCTTCAGCCCTCTCAAATGAGAGAGTTGAGCAGGTGCTCTTTCCAGTGCAGCTCACGCATAGTGGCATAGTAACGAGGCTGCTGCAGAAGCTGTTGCACCAAAAGCTGGCAGTTGGTGTGTCCTTTGCCCCTGAAGTGTGAGTGGATCAAACGGTCAACGTCTCTCGAAACTTAAGCAATTCCAATTCCCCGCACCTGAGCAGCTGGGATGTGCAACAGGGTATGGCCATGTGTAAATATGTAGTTGAAGTTGCAGAAGTGACAGCCTGTCAATAGCCATGATGTCACGACACAGCTCACCACGCGCTCTAAGCATCGCGTGGCAGTTAATTCGAAATCTGGGAGCATGGCAGCTCTAAGCCTGCCACATAGAGTCTCCTTGGGACTTAGCTTGGACCTTAGACCCTTAACCCTTTGGGGTTCCCTTATATTCCTAGTATAGGTACCTCAGGGTTAACCCTCAGTATGGGTCCTAAGTGCCATGTAGGAGTGGGAGCGAGGCCGGTGAGGTCAAGCCTTTGGAGTCCATCAGACAGTTCATTTGTGTCGATGTCCGTCGTGCTCCCAGACTTAGTGAGGGCAGAGACTCAGACGCAGGGCATTTTCAACATAAAGTTGCTGGATGCTATAGTCCGATGGCAATGGGCGCTGTCCAAGCATCTCCAGGTTCAAGAAGGCCATGTCCCTGTCTCGTGATTTCGCTGGCTGTTCTCACTCTGTGGGTGCCACTGGCTCACTCCTGATGCCAGGGCAAGCCATGTTGAAGAGTGGAAGGATGCAGTTCGGAGATTTTATCACCTGCCCAAAACTCATTCCAATACGATGGACTGACGTGTATAGCGGAGATGGGGTCCAGGCTTGATGTATTCCGGTGGAATTTCAGGGTCTTGGAGATGTTGTGCTCATGGACAGAACTTGCTTTGTCTTGCCTTCAGGCTCATCTAGGCTCAAAGACAGCCTCGGAGGGTCAAAGGGGGATGATGCCGCACATCGTGTGGCGATGCTGAGCACAACTGCCCCTGCCCTGCTGAATTCAATTATTCTGGCCTTATTTCTGCCGCTTGCAACGGCACTCGATTGCGCGCCCAGACCTTATGTTGCACCTTTGTTCTCGCAGTATCTTGTTTTTTCGAACAGTGCACAACTATTGCAAGGCTCGCACCTTCTACGAATGCATCTACTTTTTCAGAGCTGCAAACTGCCGTCTCTGGCACCTGGACATACTGGATTGGAATTCCTTCTGCAGCACTTCAACATACTTCAGCATTGGGCATGGATTCTTTGGTTGTTGGAATGCTGCAGGCAATGTGGATGTGTGCATACATGTGCCAGTGGGTGCAGTCATTATCTTCACGGCGACCCTCAACATTCCTAGTGGTGCGCAGCCCAGTTCTGAGCTCTATCCGGAAGAAGAGAGCATCAGCACATGAGGCAGAAACCTGAAGATCGCAGCGGATGAGCCTGGAGCCACTCTGGACGGCGGCAACTCTTTTGACGAAGGACTTGACCCGCCTGACCGCCTGAATGTAGCTTTTCTTTTTATCCGTGTTCGGGCGTTCTTGTGTTCCAGGCATTTCAAACAATGACGGTGCGCTGATGTTTGTGGTCAGCGGGGCTTTGATCTTGGAGAATCTGACCGCGCCCTAGCTAAATAGAGCTTGGGCAGCAGCTGCTAAGATGCATGAGATTAATCATGCCAGCTGCAGGGCTTTCCCCTGGTTGGTACTCCCATTTCTCAGTTGCATTTTGCCGCATAACCAGGGTTTATAAGGGTTTAGGATTATAGAGGGTATATATGGGGGTTATATTGCGATAATGGAAAAGAAAATAGAAACTACTATTTAGGGTTTAGTACACGCTGCTCCTGGAGAATCTCATGCATCTCCCACTGGCAACCGTCACCGCTACATGTAGAACATGCTGGCCGTGTAGTCTCGCAGTAGTCTCGCTGCAGCAGGCGCCACAGCGGCAGCAGCAGTAATTTCAGCATCAGCCGCCATCGTCGTCGTCATCATCATCATCATCATCGCCGCCACCACCGCCACCACCACCGCCAGCACGAGCGCCAGCCAGCATCATCATCATCATCATCATCATCACCATCATCATCATCATCATCATCATCATTCTATGCGGCAGCAGTGGCCGTGGCGGCGTCACCTGCCTCAAGTCTTCTTCTTGGTTCGTGCTGCGTGTCGCAACAGCATTCGCATCACAGGTGCAGCACGCCTATGCCAGCTCTGGGGCCGTGTTGCAGGTCTCAGCGGGAACTGTGGAAGCTCGGAAGGTGCGTTTCCGGAGCCTTATCATAAAACATGTGATTGTGTCAAAAGTGCAAAGATCTGTCACACGAGATATGTGCAATCACGAGGAAGAATCATGCAGGAACTGGAGGCTGCCTGTGTCTCGGATCATATCGACAGTGAAGAGCCCTTTTTTCTGCCGCTCGAGAAGAAGCTTCTGCGGAAGCTAGCTGTAAGCACGGCTTCGATCTGCCAAGGTGGTCTCTTGACTCGCCATCCATGCTGTTTGAAGATTCCATCTTCGAGGAGAACGTCGCTGATTCAGGGGGTGGATCTGCAGCCTACATAGCAGGTAGCATTGCCACTTAGCACAACTAATACAGGTTTGTTTGGCAAAGCACAGCTCGCTGGTCAATGTGCTGCTTCACATGCCCAGGCATCTGCTAGTTCCTGGGCCGCAATGAGTCTAATTTGGTTTGGAGTAGTTGATTCTTCCTGACCATAGCCAGGACTTGCTAAGGCTATTCATTTCAAAGATGTTGGTTCCTGCGAAACGCGGCATCGGGCAGAGGACTTTCCTTGCTCAACTTGAGGCAGATTTGTTTTGCTTGCTTGCATGTTGCGCACTGACGCATTCGCGCTTCTTTGCCAGGAAGCCTGCTGCAGCTAAGCAAAGGTAAGTTTCTCTTGGACTGAGGATGCCGCCCAGCTTCCTGGAGACATGTGCAGCCTGGCCTGTTCAGGGTATAGGGTTTAGGGGTAGGGTTTAGGCGTTTAGGGGTAGGGTTTAGGGGTAGGGTTTAGGCGTTTAGGGGTAGGGTTTAGGGGTAGGGTTTAGGGTTCAGGGTTTTATTGTTTAGGGTTTAGGGTTAGCATCCGGGCCTTTTTAATTTTAAGTTGGGGAATCTCAAGCCAAGCCAAGCCCTAGACAAAGCGCCGGACAACTGAGGTGTGCAAACCCTAAATTAAACCCTAAACCCTAAATAGTAGTTTCCATTTCATTTTCCATTATCCCAACGAAGAAGGCCAGCCTCCAGGATGATATCCTCCACATCAATATCGGGCGAAATTTTTTCTGTATGTTTCTGTGCTCCCCAAGGTTTTGGGTGGGAAAGCATGATTCGCTTGAGGTCTTGCGTGCTGAAGGCCTGGAAGCTCCGCAGTTCCTTCGATTGCCCAGCCTCGCCCGATATTGATGTGGAGGATATCATCCTGGAGGCTGGCCTTCTTAGTTGGGATAATGGAAAATGAAATGGAAACTACTATTTAGGGTTTAGGGTTTAGGGTTTATATTGGAGAGTTGCAAGCCTGCTGCAAAAGGGTTTATATTGGGATAATGGAAAATAAAATGGAAACTACGATAATGGAAAATCAAATGGAAAAGCAAATGGAAAATGAAATGGAAACAGTAATATAGTGGGTTGTATTGGGATAATGGAAAATAAAATGGAAACTAATATAATGGGATAATATGAGCTATATAATGGAGAATCAAATGGAAAAGAAGATGGAAAATGAAATGGAAACTACTACATCATAATAGGGTATACTACTTGGTTGGGGTTTTGAAGCTACTATAGTATATTGGGGTTATATAGGGATAATGGAAAAGAAAATGGAAACTACTATATATAATGGGATTATATTGGGTTTATAGCTTCGGATCAACTCACAAGCTTTGAAGGCTTCCTCGGCCTTCGAGAGCGCAGCTGCGCTTCTGCAGGCAGCTCACCTGCAAGATTGGTCCCGTCTTTGCAGAGCCTCTTAGAGGGTAAAGGGATCCAGCACTTTTACTCGCGAGCTGAGGCAAATCCGCAAGCCTTGCGTGAGGCAGCGCAGGCTGCATGTTCAGAATTGAGGCTGGAGCAGATTTGAGAGACTCCAGTTTATGATCTAAGCTCGAAGTGGGAGTGTCAGATGGGTTCAAGTTACGGCCTAGGTTCTAGCTCGTTGTTTTCAATCCCGGTTGACATTGTGAGCAGGCAACGCCATGGTGAAAAGCAGACAGAAACTGTCGCTTCAGCCAACAGCGACGATGCTCTGGAAGATGCCGGTGTGCAAGATGTTGACCCAGAGACTTGTTCACGCAGCTGTATAAACTTCAGCAACAACCCTAGAACTGTAGAATTCCTGCACCCCCCTAAAAAATACATAAAATACCAGCATTCCACATTATGCCCAAATGGCTTGCCTGCAGCAAGGAGTCGTTGGACCTTGGACTTTTCACCTCCTTTCCGCGGCCAGGGAGGCTGTTCGTCCAATGTGTGCCTGTTTTTTGGGTTACGCTCATTGGCATGTGCACAGACTGCAACAGCAAATTTTTCTCATCCTGTAGGCTTATATAACTGCAGCCTAGCGCTGCGGGTTCCATAAATGCGGTGTGTTGTATCTTGCTGAACATAGTAGCCTCCTTGTTTGGGCAAATTCTATTGTAGTTTCCATTTTCTTTTCCATTAGCCAAATATAAACCCAAGATACTATAGTAGTTTCCATTTTATTCTACATTATCCTCATATAACCCCAACATAACCCTAATATAACCCCTATATAGTTTCCATTTTCTTTTCCATTGCCCCACCAAAGACATCCCTGTGCACCAAGGTGGCCGGAGCTTCTCTCAAATTTTCTGCAGTATGTCCGATGCACAGCATTGCCGGAGGATGGGATGTCTTTGGGGTTCTACTGGGATAATGGACAAGAAAATGGAAACTATAGGGTTTATAGGGCTTATATAGGGATGATGTAGGGGATATATTGGGATAATGGAAAAGAACATGGAAACTACTATATTATGTCCGATGCACCACTGCTGGAGGATGGGCCATCAGGTTTGCCGGTGATTCGGCAGCGCCTGCGTACGAACCCTGAAGTGATACTCGCCCGTGTAGTGGGTGACCTGGAGCTTTTTTAGGTGGAGCGAAGCCTGCTAATCTTTTTTAATCAAGCCTTCACAATCCAACGAGACGGAACACTTCAGGATATGCTGGGGTCCCGACCACTTCCTTCTGGCTCTCTTAGCCTGTGTGGGCCTGGTGGTGTGGTGTGCGGGTGTGCCCGTATTACTTTTCCTGCGGCTTTATCGCCTACCAGATAGGCAGAGCCCGGAGAATTTCAGGAGATACGGATACTTCATCCAAGGATACTGGGTTGCTGTTAAGGAACTCAGTTGAAGTTACTATATTGGGGAAACCCTATGAAACAGTAAATATTATATACCCATTGTGGTAGCGTAATTTAAGTTCTTGCCCAGGATACGAACCGGTATTTTGGTGGTGGGACATAATCGTCAAGCGCGCCGACATTGGTTTGATGAATGTGATCACATATACAAATCTGGCAAATGATGAGAAAGCCAAGCTTCTGCTTTTCCCCTTTCTATCTGGGACGCAGTTGGCTTTGTGCGCATGGTGCAGGCCCTTCACAAACAGCCAGGCTGAGATTTTGGATTTCGTCGAGCCCGAGCCAGATTTCCAGTGCTGTGAGTTTTTTCCTAGCGATGATGTACGGTAGTATAGGGACCGGGACCATATAGGGTTTTGGGGCTAGATCACCCTAATCATGGAGAATCCAATAGAAAGGAACATGAACAAACAACATGAAAAGTGGGTGTAATTTCTGTGCAGCCGCTGCATCCCAACATGAACCGCGACCCCAACTACAAAGATGTCTAGTGATAGACGTACATGATCACCAAGGCAATCGTGCACGCAACCACCGATTGTTTCCATCGTTCCGTAAACCCTAAACCCTAAACCCTAAACCGGGAAATTGAAGACATGCTAAATTTCAATCAAATCTCCTTTGAGGCTGAGATATATTGGGATAATGGAAAAGAAAATGGAAACTACTATTTAGGGTTTAGGGTTTAGGGTTTAGGGTTTAGGGTTCATATTGGGATAATGGAAAAGAAAATGGAAACTACTATAATGGA